CGGGAAATGTCAGACAAAGGAAGCTGTTCCGGACAGCAGGCAACACTGTGTCTGTATGCGTGCAGCGCTGGGGAACCCACAGTCCAGGTGAACCCACTGACTACGCCTGTTTTTTCACTGTTCGATCCACTCAGAAGGCAGCTGCCTATTTTGCCCTTGGGGATTGTCGTGCTAGACTGGGAGCAAGGGAGGTGTCTTGGGGAAATGCTCCCCAGACTATTGGATATTCCATCTGCCCTGCACCAGTTTTTAGGTTTGCACATCCATCTTTTTATAGTTGCATCCCAAAAGCATCCTATTGTGAAGGGTTTCCGCCCGATCTGGGGTCACAAGGCTGGAGCTCACCTAGCTCGGAAACCCCAGAGGTCAACGTCATTCCCAGGGAGAGCCAAACCATCTTGAACGCTTGGCAGACGTCCCTCATAAACGTCTCTCACCTCAGCTTGAAGCTGACAGTGTTGCTTGTGGTTGGACATATCCAAAATCTTCAGACCTGAGCAGATCTGGAAGTCACACATGGAACTAAGTATCCTATTTAAAGGCATTCTAAAAAATATCTTTTTGGCATAAGAGAGGAAAATAGCTTTTTCTCTACCTTATGAACTTTCTAGACCAGGTGTGGGGAACCTTTGGCTTTGCAGATGTTGCTGAACTACAACTCCCATCATCCCTTGTCATTGGCCATGGTTGCTGAGGATGATGGGATTTGTAGTTCAGCAATATCCAGGGGGGAGGTTCGCCACACCTGACCTAGGTCTAGATGGCCTTTGACAGCTCCTCCAAGGATATCCTGATGCAGAAACAAGCCTTTCCTATTGAGCCAGTTTTCCACAAATTTCTGATATTTTTAGAATTTGTGATCCCCGTTTCAAAGCCTGAGACTGTCACAATGAATACACATATGGCATTGCCGAGGCACAGTGACGATACCGTCACTGTTTCCCTTTTTGCAGAACCTTAACTTTGCTTCTTTTTCTTCCTCACTGCGGCAACCTGCACCTATAAATACCACTGAACACATTGCATCTGACAGCTCATATGGAAATCTGAAATACCCCTTTCCTTCTCCATCACCCGTCAGAGCAGCTTATTCAGCTACACAAAATACACTCTTTTTGTGTCATTCAGGTATAGAAAAGGGGCCAAGGAGCAGCGGAGACTAGAGATGCCCATGGATGGGGCAATGGTACTGTTTTATATTATTTATTCTATAAATGTGGGCAAGTGGGGGGGTCAAACACTAAATGCTATCTGAGTAGTCTTCCTTCTGTAACTTTCCAGTGGCTTGACTTCAACCCCAAAGGTGCACTCTCCCACTGTCTCCCTAGACAGACAGACGACAATAACAATATACACAAAGAAAGATAATAGTCTATCTCAATAGAAGACAACATACCCTCCAACATTTCTCAGATGAAAACAGGGACATCCCATTCCATAATGATAACTGTCAGGGAACTGCCATCGGAAGGAAGGGAGGTGAAAGGACTCAGACAGGGTGGAAGAGACTCAGCAGCTGAAGAGGGAACCAGCAAGGGGAGAGAAGCTGAACTGAGGGAGGTGAAAGGGCTCAGACAGGTTGGAAGAGACTCAGCAGCTGAAGAGGAAACCAGCAGGGGAGAGAAGCTGAACTGAGGGAAAGGAGCTGGGGGATGGCTCAGAGATACTTCCAGCGAAAACAGTGGTGAGGTTTCCGGACCTCCTGTAGGGACACCCACTCCTCGCCGGAAACTGTCACGCAGAGAGTCCAGAAGACGTGTTTCCGTTAAGGAGCTTTTATGTTGGCAGCGATCACGAAAGCAACCACTGTCGGAATCTTCTAGTGACTAGAGGAGCCATGTCAGAGGGGCTCAGTCACAGACAGAGGTTTGTGGACTTGAACAAACTCTGAGGGAATACGATTTTACGCACAAGCAGCTTATCATCCCATCACAATAACTTTTACTATTTGTACCCCACACATCTTACTGAGTTGCCCCAGCCACTCTGGGCAGCTTCCAACATATATAAAAACACAATAAAACATTAAACATTTTTTTAAAAAAACTTCCCTATACTGGATTGCCTTCAGATGGGTTGGGGGTCGGATAACGCAATACCCTCCAAGATTTCTCCAATGAAAATAGGGACATCCTAAGGAAAAGTGGACATTATGGAATCAAATCAGAAACCAGGACAGCTTCTCTAAATCAGGGATGTCCCTGGAAAATAGGGACACTTGGAGGGTCTGAGAAAATAGACAACGGAAATGCAAAACAATAACGTTTGATAACATTTGCTGGTCAAAAACAGAACTATATAGCATAAAGGGAACCGAGAATTAAAAATTAAGAGTCAGAGTCCAGGAAATAAACATATATATTTCTAAGCGGCATTTAAAAGGGTACCACAATTTGACCACAAATTACCTGAGGAAGAGCATTCCCAAGGGCAAAAGCTATCACTCAGAAGGCCTCCTTCCACATTGTCACCAAATAACAACCTACTGGTTGTGCAATGAGCAGCAGGCTCCCTTCAGATTGGTTTGGTCCATATTTTGAATGCAGTTGGTGTGAATGGTACCATCAGAAAACTGAGAGGGATTGGTCAGTTTCCTCAATATGGGGAGCCTATGATCTTCCACATGGAGATATCTCAAAATGCTCCTTCCAGTTAAAGAAGAAGAAGATCCTGGTGAAGAATTGAAGGCAGTTAGGATATCAGAAAATAAAGAAGGATTGGATAATGAAAGAAAGGTGGGAAGAAAACAGCTGGGAAAGATAGAAGGCTGACCTACCCACTTATCTCATGTTTGGTAAGCACATCCCTATCGGATGTGCATTGTCTGTCAGGGAAATAAAGCTTTGGGAGTAATAAAATCAAGCAAACCTTTAGGAATGGTATCACAGCTTATGGATAAAAGAACATAAGCAATATTTTGGGTTGCTGGCTTCAACACCCAGATGGCAAAGGCTTCAGCACTATTCTGCGCCAAGTCTATTATCTGGTTTCTCTCTCTTCTATAAGTACTCAAAATCATTTTTAAAATTTCCTTTTTGATTTCTGCTAAGTTGGCGGAAATTGTTCTGAATGAAAAGAGGCCCTTTAAAAAAGAAAACCACAACGCTCTTACTTGCAGGAAATTATTGCCAATGAATAAATTCCTTTCACAATGCATTATTCTATCGCCACAGCTCATTGCAGGAGCCTTTTTCAATGAAGTTATGATCTTCAAAGATATGACAGGCTAGAAATAAACCAGACAGTTTAACCGGCGTCTGGGAGAGGATTTATTTACAGGGCTTTGAATCAAGGGGCAGCAATTTAGCCAACTGTTGCTGGTCACTGAGAGCAAAGCTCAGTCAAGAGATGTGCGTTATTATCAAGGTGTGCCTGCGACTGCGTATTTATCTGTAATTTCAGAAGTAGTGTTCAAAACAGCAAAGAGAAGCTGGTATGCAAAATACAGCCAGAATCCATAGATGTAGAAAATACAATGGGTTGCATTTAGGAATGTGGGAGAAATACGATAACATTTGCACTGAAAGGTGGACGTACATAATTCTCACTTTCCCAAACTACAGGCAAACCCAACACACAGCAATCATTTGAAATTCACCACAGCTCTGAATTTTGCAATGCAATTTTCCAGCCAAGGAATGTGTACAAAGTGTGCATATAAACACACGTGTCAGTGAAAATAATATACAAAAATGTGTTCTATTGGGGGAAATTGCATATAAAAATGTGTATAGTAAGTGAAATTTGCACTGAAATGCTGACGAAATTTTGGGACGAGTCTTTAAAAGGTGATGCGGAAATGTGGAGAACTGGAAAAATGAGAAACTGAGAGAGCTGAAATGCTCAGATTTCATCCCTAGGGTATCCAGTGTAATACTATGTGACTGCTCCTCAGTGCATTCTACTTGCACAATGGAATTTGGGGGAGAGGAAAGAGGCGTGGTCCCATTGACCAAGTGGAACCTTGCACTGATGGGCCACAGTAGTTGAATAAAATCACTTCTTAACATGGAGCCTGGAGATCCAGTGTAATTGTTGGCAGGTGCGGAGGAAGGGGGTGTGTGGTGAGTGCGGGCTGCTCGAAGTGTCACCACTGAGGGGGGTGACAAAATGCCGGGTGGCACTCACCGTGGGGCCTGCAACACACCCAAGCCACACGTCTCTCCTGGGTCCGCCTGCTGCCTCCCCGCTAGATGTAGGGTGGATGAGTGGGAAGAGGCAGGCAGACTCTGGAGGCCCCGTGGCGCACCCTGCCCCAATGCTCGGCTCGCCCCACCCCTGGGGTGGCACCCTAGGCCATAGCTGTCAACGTTTCCCTTTTTTTAAGGGAAATTCCCTTATTCTGAATAGGATTCCTCGCAAGAAAAGGGAAAAGTTGACAGCTATCCCCTAGGCACCTGAGCGGCTTCCTCCGCCGCTGATTGTTGGTCTGGAGGGGGCTTGGGGTTAAAAATCCTGCTCAATTAGGAAGTCCATTAGACAACTTCAGGCCAGTCTTGGGCCTTCCTCACAGGATTGCTGTGAGGATATGATACCATAAGAATCGTGCATCTTAATCCTGGCAAACTGCCCTTCGTGTAATTCAGAACTCAGTAGCTGCCAACACCCCTGGAAAACAGAACAGAAAAGGTTCTTGGGTTTTTTTTTAAAAAAAAGATTTCTCAATTGACTCAGTGTTGGCCATTTAACTGCTCCCTGAAATTCCGTACGTTTTTGTTAAAGTCCTGGATACTGATAAGAAGTCCCCAAAAATGCCCCCAAATGTGGTGGTTGTTTTTCATCTCCAGGGAATGGTTGCAAAGTCCAAGCAACTTTCAGAGCCTGGAGAGGAAGCATGTATCAGTTAAATGCAGCATTTGCATTTAAATACTGAGATGCCTGGGAGGAAAGTTTTTAGGCTTGTTTTCTTAACAAGGTCAAAAAAAATAGAGGCCAGGGGGAGAGCTTTGAGAGAGTAAATACTGTGTTTGTATAAACACAGTAGCTGAATTTGGGCTGGGAAGTTTTCCTGTGCTTGGTTAAACAAGATGAGAGATTGTGCTGTTTCCTCTAAACTCTAGAGATTGCCCACAGTTCCCTGGAGCCTTAAAAAATCACAATTCGAGGGAGCTTCCTCAGCTCCATTTGAGATGTCCAATGGGGCCAAGTCTTAAAAACAACGATGAATTAAAACCACATTTTGTGCCAAATCTCATCTTATATTTTGAGGTATAGAAGAATTAAGCAGAGCAATAATGTCTGCATCGGAATACACATGAGCATGAAGAGCCGAGGAGTTTCTTACTCTGAACAAGGTTTTTAGAGGAAGTCTATGTCAAAAAGGACAATCTTTTGGGGATTTCAGTTGCGCATATACACTCTTCACAGGTGTACCTCAATTTGTGACCACACACAAACACTGATAATGGCCTCAAACTAGGACCATCCACTCAGAACACCCCATGGCCCTGCAATTTGCTGGATGTAGAGTAAATGTTCATGTTTACACATAAACAGAATTAGCCCTCCCATGAGGCAGGGTGAAGAGGCTGCCTCGGACAGCCGAAGAGCAAGAAGTGGTACCCTGCCCTGCCCCACCTCTTCCACCAGAGGCAGAACACCCACTCTCCTTGGGAGTGTTCCAGCACATGGCATTATCGTCCATCCTCCCTGCTCCTGGGGTGGAGAAGATGAACCTCAAGGCCTAGCAGAATGCTGCCCCTCTCTCTGAGTTCGGTGAGAGGGAAGCATAGATTTTTGTTATGTGTGTACATACCCCCATGGAACTTCCCAAGTAGGAGCAGGGCATGTTGTGTTTCCCAGTTCTTATGCTGCTTTTGAGGAGGCACAGCTGCCCTCAGGTAGGTTTTCCATGCCAGTTTAAATGGTGAATATGGATTATTTTAATCTGAGGACCCACTTGGTGCTCGTATGAGGAAACGGATGAACCTGAAGGTTTGCTCTGGGATAGTTCAGCAACTCACAATACATTGCTAATGGAAGCAACAAGCACACCGTGTGAAGATGCGGCAGCTGCAATTTTTGGGTGGTCTTATGGCACGTGAAAATAACTCGAACCGGGCCTTCCCGACAGAGAACGAGGTGGCCAGGCAGTTTCAACCAACAGGCTATAACAAAGTTGGTGTTGAATGTCTTGGTTCATTGTGGGTTTCAACATTCTGCATTTTCCCACTAACAACTAGGGGCAGCCAAGGAAGTGGAGCAGCAGTGAGGAAACACAACATGTCATGGCATGAGGAAGCAAGCAATTTCTTACAGACAACAGAGATGGCTAAGGGGTAGAATGTGGCAGGGTATTTTTTGGTAGCAACCACAGGTTTAGCATAATGCTCTGGTTTGGCCTGCAAGTAGTAAAGTTCATTATTAATAATATTTCCGCTCCTTTCCCCCTCCATCATGTCATGAGCCTTTGAAGCCTCTGCTGTTCCTCACTACCAGGATGGGGTGCGTGGGGAGAGAACAGCCCTCAGGTGGCCCAGTGCCAGGGCAATCGTGAACAAAACAGGAAAACCACAAATATGTCTGCAAAGGTTTTTACTGGTTTCTAGAATCAGGAAACTTGGTGTCTGCTTTAACAATGCTGTTTGTGCAGGACTAATAAATGGGTGCTTCTATGTGGCTAATGGTGAATGTGTTTGGAGATATTTCAGGAGCTTTTGAGCTAAACTCAGGTCTCCAATTTAGAAGGACAGCTGAGAGACTGTATACCCCTCCCCCAAGTTGCCTGACTGAGAGAAATGTATATTAATGGGTTCAAGTTGTGTAGTCAATAATTGATATTTTCGCTGCCCTGGCATGCAATATGCAAAAATCCTTCATCAACTAATGATCCCATGGAGTTGAGTGTGACTTCTCAGAAAAAAAGCCCTCGTGAACCTTCTAAAAAACACATGTCATAGGGAGTTTTTGTTTAGTGAAGCTGGTGAACATTACCCATAATAGAAAGCTTTAAATCAAAATCAGTCAAGTCTATCATTGTTCCCAATAATGACAGCCAGTCAGCGAGGGCAAAGTGAGGTCTAGTCCTGCTGAGTTTCTCAACCCCCTGAAATCTCCAAAGCCATGAGGTCCAGTCTTTCCCCTGCCCCCCGCAATAACATCAGCACATTTTCAGTGTCTGAGAGGCTTCTGTCCAGCTCCTCTGCTTAGCCAGTCATAAAAACCGCTAGCAATAGATCCCACACACACCGAGCAACTGTCTCACATAAGAAGGGCAGAAATATTCTTGTCCTTTTCATCTGCTTTGCTCTCCCTTTCTCTCTCTGAAGCCATGCCTCCAGGCACAAAGCTTAAGCTGGGAGTGGAGGATGGGCGGATCTGTCAATGCTCACCTTAAACCTTCATGTGGCTCTTTGCTCTTTTACATTTGCACACAATATTCTCTTCCTTAGCAGTGCTTCAGATTGGATTAACAGTCAGTCTTCCAAGGGGAGTCTGGGAACTGTAGCACTGTGAGGGGAATGGGGTCTCCTAGCAACAATCAGTGACCGTTGCAAACTATAGCTCCCGGGATTATTTGGGGGGGGGAACCATGCTATGACGCTGCTTTAAATGTATAATGCATACATATGTAGCTGTCCTTGCCACTTCTAGTTTGGTCCTTAATCTCATCATATGGAGCTGTCAATGGCTGGGTCTTGATAAAGTGATGCATTGATTGCCTCCGGCTTCATGTTTTGACTTAGAGCTGGCATGCTATAAATACTGCAGAGGTCATCACTGCGGCTAATTAAAACCAGGAGACATTCATTCTTTGCATAGTGATGATGAGGCACTTAAGGAATCCTCACCCCGAGAAACTACTTCCTTTCTGAAATGGCCCAGCCAAAGGAGACACACGTGAAAACTATGCATCCGCTAGGATTGAGAGCTTTGGTTGTCCTTTAGAAATTCTATTTCAGGTCTCCAACAGAGTGCAACAAGTCGTAACAAGCCTGGATGGAGGTTACATTTGTTTGGTCTTGCAGCCTTGGGCTTACTTTAATAAAAATGGATGCCTCTGCAGAACCAATAAATCTTGAGTAGTCTTGCTAGGGGAAAAAACACAGAGAGTGGCTTATAAAAACAAGCTAGGAAATGGCACACAATGGTTAGCAAGTAAAAAAGAACGTATGTGTTATATGTAAAACATTTTTTTTTACAGGAGGCATCAAGGCTGATAAATTTAAGGTCTAGATTCTGGGTGTCTTCATACTGCTATGACCAATGGCTGGCGGAATAAAACCTAGCAGGTAAGGTTAGCTAAGCCCATGGAAGGGATTCCTTGAGGTGTCAGTAGGAGACTAATTGGCTTGCAGAGAGCCCAGAAGCAAGAGTACCATCCATTCTCTGTCTCCCTCTTAGACACACACAAACCGAGAGCAAGAGAGGGAGACGGGGAGAGGGAGAGCAATTACATCTGAGTGGAACTGGAGTCTACAGTCAAGTACTCTTATAATGTATGCCAGAGGGGGAAAGTGGAGCAGAAGTATGAAAAGAAAATCTACAGAACAGAAAGGGGGGAAAGAAGCACCAATTCATTATCGAGCAAGTGCAAGCCGAATTCACTTGCCACCACAATGCCTGGGTTTGAATGGAAAGATATCAGAGGTGTCAGCTTTTGTGCAGGAAGAACACGGCTCACCAGAACTAGTTCAAGTATTGCATGCAGCTGTAGAGATGCACATTTTAAAGTTCACATGAGCAGGCATGGGAAATTGATGGACCACCCCTCCCTTCACTTTTGTCCATTGGCCATTCGGCTGGGACTGTCAGGAGATGGAGACTAACAGCCTCTGGAGGGGGGGGGGGGCACGGGGTCTTCATCCCTATTCTAAAGGCTAGAGGTGAACAAGTTTGGAAAGATGGAGCCTATTCTAAAACCCAGTAGGGCAGTATTTGTGGGGGACAGCTCAGGCTTTTTCTGGATGGTCCACTCAAAAATGAAACAGTCCTTCTCCCATTCCAAATGCCTCCTCCCCCGCCAGTGCTCCAATATCACTCACCAGCCTCTGATGAATCTGGCTGGATTTCGCCAAAATTGAAGATTGCTTTTGATTTTTGCACAGCTGAGTTGTGTGGTCGTCACCCCATGGATTCCACGCTATTAAGGATTTTCACCAAATTCCACTTGGTGCTCAACATTATCAGATAAGGGCAGAAGACCATTTCTGATGCTCCAAACGTGGAGGGTACTCCATCTTTAAATATCACATATATTTGGAAATACAGAACAGGGAAAGGGATTGAGTGAAGAAGAACCGTGGGTTGGTGGTAGAGCCTACAAGCTGACTCCATGGCTACAACATCAGTCTCATTTCCATTTGGGGTTGTGTTTCTTTTTCCTTTCCCTGCTCCCTTTAACATCTTGCAGTTGTAGACAACGTGGTAGGGCTGCACCTCCTTCCAGCTGAGTCGCTGCTACATACCAGTGGAGGTGTAAAGATAAAGAAGGTACTTTCTACCACATGTGGTGGACATGTAAAATAGTAAAAGACTTCTGGGTAATGATATATAATGAATTGAAAAAATGTTTAAGATAACTTTTATCCAAAAAAACCCAGAAGCCTTTTTACTAGGGTTAACAGGAGATGAAATACCAAAAGAATTAAAAAGACTATTTATGTACATGACAACAGCCGCAAGAATGCTACAGTGGTGCCCCACAAGACGAACGCCTCGCAAGACGAAAAACTCGCAAGACGAAAGGTTTTTTCATTTTCGAGTTGCTTCGCAAGACGAATGTCCCTATGGGCTTGCTTCGCAAGACGGAAACGTCTTGCAAGTTTGTTTCCTTTTTCGTAAAACCGTTAAAACCCAGGGTACATTGCTGGAAGAGGTGCAGTTGCGACTTGACCTCGAGGAGCAACACATTGCACGCGGTGTGGTGGCCTTTCTGAGCTTTTTAAAGAGTTTGCTGGATTTTTGAAGCTTTTCCAAAACTTCTTCTGCAGCTGTTTGGTAAGTTAAACTTTTGAAACTTTTTTGGGGAGTTTTTGGATTTTGGGTTGGGGTGTTTAGAATTCAAGGACTTGGTGTTGGGGAGGGGTTTGCAAGAATCTGGGAGCTTGTGTGGTTTTTTTCTGCATTTTTATGATTTTCTGTGACCATTGGGCCATGTTTATTTTTTTTTTTAAAAAAATCTGGCTTTGAATTTTTGAATTTCTGTGTGCTGGGTGGATGGGGGAACAGCTGGGGAGGTGTTTGCAAGAATCTGGGAGCTTGTGTGGTTTTTTTTGAATTTTTATGATTTTTTGTGACCATTGGGCCATGTTTTTTTTTTTGAAAAAAATTTCTGGGTTTTAAATTTCTGTGTGCTGGGTGGATGGGGGAACAGCTGGGGAGGTGTTTGCAAGAATCTGGGAGCTTGTGTGGTTTTTTTTGAATTTTTATGATTTTTTGTGACCATTGGGCCATGTTGTTTTTTTTTGAAAAAAATTTCTGGGTTTTAAATTTCTGTGTGCTGGGTGGCTGGGGGAACAGCTGGGGAGGGGTTTGCAAGAATCTGGGAGCTTGTGTGGTTTTTTTTGAATTTTTATGATTTTTTGTGACCATTGGGCCATGTTGTTTTTTTTTGAAAAAAATTTCTGGGTTTTAAATTTCTGTGTGCTGGGTGGATGGGGGAACAGCTGGGGAGGTGTTTGCAGGAATCTGGGAGCTTGTGTGCTTTTTTTTGAATTTTTATGGTTTTCTGTAACCATTGGGCCATGTTGGTTTTTTTTGAAAAATTTTCTGGGTTTTGAATTTCTGTGTGCTGGGTGGCTGGGGGAACAGTTGAGGAGGGGTTTGCAGGAATCTGGGAGCTTGTGTGGTTTTTTTTTGAATTTTTATGGTTTTCTGTAACCATTGGGCCATGTTGTTTTTTTTTGAAAAATTTTCTGGGTTTTGAATTTCTGTGTGCTGGGTGGCTGGGGGAACAGTTGAGGAGGGGTTTGCAACAGTTGGGGAGGGGTTTGCAACAGTTGGGGAGGGGCTGGGGGAACAGTTGAGGTTTTTGAAGACTTTGGTGATTTTTAAAGCTTTCCCAAAACTTCTTTTGCAGCCATTTGAGGATTTTGAAGACTTTGGTGATTTGCAGCCATTTCGTAAGTTAAACTTTTAAAACTTTTTTGGGGGTTTTTGGATTTTGGGTTGGGTGTTTGGAATTCAAGGACTTGGTTGTGGGTTTGAATTGCTGATTTTCTTTTTCTTTTTCTGAGTTTACAAAGGTAACAGCTGTGCTGCCATGGGACCCAAGAAGGCTGCTGCTGCGGAGGCCGGCGAGAGGAAGAAGGAGAAGGTGACGCTGGAGATGAAGAAGGAGATCATCCGGAAGCACGACGGTGGAATGCGTGTGACGGACCTCGCCAGGGAGTACGGCAGGAACCCATCGACCATCGGGACAATCCTGAAGATGAGAGAGAAGATCCTTGCGACTGATGCAGCCAAGGGAGTCACCAGGATCGTGAAGAACCGCCCAGCTGTTCTGGAGGAGGTCGAGAAGTTGCTGCTCATCTAGTTAGAAGAGAAGCAGCGTGCAGGGGACACAGTGACTGAGGCCGTGATTTGTGAGAAGGCCAAGGCCTTGCACGCAGACCTCATCCGGGAACAGCCAGGAACCTCGGCCGAGCCAGAAGTCTTCAAGGCAAGCAGAGGCTGGTTTGACCGGTTCAAGGCAAGATCCGGAATCCACAGCGTGGTCAGGCATGGAGAGGCTGCCAGTTCTGATGTTCCTGCGGCTGAAGACTTTGCCTTGGAGTTCCTGGAGGTTGTGAAGACGGAGGGCTACGTTCCACAGCAGGTCTTCAACTGCGACGAGACCGGGCTGTTTTGGAAGAGGATGCCCAAAAGGACTTTCCTCACACAGGAGGAGGCCAAGTTGCCTGGCCACAAGCCCATGAAGGACCGTCTGACCCTGCTCTTCTGTGCCAACGCAAGCGGCGACCTGAAGATCAAGCCCCTGCTGGTGTACCACTCGGAGAACCCACGGGCCTTCAAGAAACACAAGGTCGACAAGGAGCGGCTGAGTGTCATGTGGCGATCCAACAGCAAGGCTTGGGTCACACGTGTGCTGTTTGTGGACTGGGTCAATCTTGCCTTTGGCCCTGCTGTCAAACAGTACCTGCTGGACAACGACCTGCCGCTGAAGGCTTTGCTTCTGATGGACAATGCTCCTGCTCATCCTAAAGGCCTTGAGGTGGACTTGTTGGAGGAGTTCAGCTTCATCAACATCATGTTCCTGCCGCCTAACACCACGCCACTGCTCCAGCCGATGGATCAGCAGGTCATCGCCAATTTCAAGAAACTCTACACCAAGGAGCTTTTCAGGCGATGCTTCGAGGTGACTGATTGCACCACCATCACCCTGCGGGAATTCTGGAAGGACCACTTCGACATCGTCACCTGCTTGAAGATGATCACCACGGCCTGGAAGGGGATCAGCCAGAGGAATTTGAATTGCGCTTGGCGCAGCCTGTGGCCGGACTGTGTGGCACCAAGTGACTCTGATGCACCAGAGTCGACAGTGGTGCAGGACATTGTTGCCTTGGGGAGGACCATGGGCCTGGAGGTCACAGAGGAGGACGTCTGCGAGCTGGTGGAGGAGCACGACCACGAGCTGACCACCCAGGAGCTGGTTGAACTGCAGTCAGAGGTTGCACAGGAGCAGGCCTCGCTGGAAGAGGAGGAAGCAACTGAGGAACGGCTGTCCTCCAAAGAACTGAGGGACATTTGCCAGAAGTGGAAGGAGGTGCAGGCTTTTGCAGAGCGGCACCACCCTGACAAGCACGTGGCACATGACCAAGCGAACATTTTTGATACGACGGTCATGTTGCCTCTCAGGGAGCTGCTGAAAAGGCGGATGAAGCAGCAGACCATGGACAGGTTCCTCAGCAAGAAGCAAAGAGTGGAAGAGGAACCTTCTTCGAGTGGTCCCCAGAGTCTTAGAAAATGTAATGTACCCTTTTTGATTTTTAAATGTTTTTCCTGTCATGTTTAGAAACTTAATTTATTGTTCCTTCAATTTTGATATGCTCTTTAAAGTATGTGTGACTTTAAAGAGCAGTTAATAAACTCTTGTTGTACCAAATTTGGCTTTGTTTGGACTTTTTTTGACCATAGGAACGCATTAATTGAATTTCAATGCATTCCTATGGGAAACCGTGCTTCGCAAGACGAAAAATTCGCTAGACGAAAAAACTCGCGGAACGAATTAATTTCGTCTTGCGAGGCACCACTGTACTTGCCCAGAAGTGGAAGGAAGAAAAAGTCCCGACACAAGAAGAGTGGATAACCAAGAAGATGGACTATGCCGAAATGGCAAAGATGACCGTGAGGATCAGACACCAAGATGACAAGAAATTCAATCAAGAGTGGAAAAGGTTTATAGAATATCTTAAAAACCACTGTGTATACTTAAAAACGTTAGCAGGATTATTGTAACACATATAATGTAATATTAGTTAAAGGAAAGGAAAGAGTGACAAAATGAACTAGAAAAATGCAATTAGATGCCAAGAAATAGGGGGAAATTTGGAAACCAGGGGTGGGGTGGGAGGAAGCCCAAGGGTTCTAAGTAATCCCAGGAGTGAAAAATTTGAAAATGTTGTGAATGTATAAAAATTTTGTTTAAAAATGAAAAAGAAAATATTAAAGGGGGGGGTGGTGATGGGTTAGGCAGCATGGTCAGTGTGGAGCCAATCCCGTACTCTTGCTGGCTTTTTTGCACTATGATGACTCCACCACTGCCTTGCTCCTCTCCCTCTCCACCCCAGCATGCAGCAGGAATTCAGCCAAAGGGAGAGCAGGTGAGTGGTAGCACACCATCTGCTGCTGACAACCTGATGAAGAGTTCTGGGGAGCCTGAAGGCTTGCTGCATTTTGGGGACATCCTTCTTGATGCTAATAAAGATAATGTCCGACCATAAGCTAATGATTCATGCAGTCACTTTGTATTTAGCTGTAACAAGCATTTGATTGATTTACAATTAAGTTTTCCTTCTTGTTGCTGTTAAGGGAGTTATATATGCTTGTAGTTTTCTGTTTTCATGGTTTTTCAGGATTTTTATTGTATGTTTTGTAAGTTCAGTACTGGGGGAAATGGGGGGAATGGGTGAAAACTTATGGGAAGAGAAGGCAGGTGCAGGGACAGCAAACCCACAAGCACGCATGGTGCTGCGCTGCCATATTGGCAGAAAAGTTGGGACTCTATTGCATTCTACATTTTGGTCCCTTTTCCTGGTTGCAAAGCACCTCATCACAACTCTCTCCTGGCCAAACCATCTAGACACAACCTTATGTGACCTCATCATCTTTGCTATCTGTTATGTAGACATTTGGCATTAAACTGCATAGCTAGGGATTTCTAAGACTCTGGGGAGGGTGGGAAAAAACCACACAAAGGAAAGGTGATCAATAAAAATCTAGAGTAGCTATGGAAAGATCTTATTAGCGTGTTCTATTGGGAAATCACAGTCCTACTTGAGCTATTCCTAGAAGACCAAAGGGCAGCTCACAGAGATATTCTATGGCTATCATTTGCCCCATATTCCAGTGACGTTTGTCTCGTATTCAACAGAAACTGACAAATGAGGTATAGCTGCTGAGTTCCTATACATTTTTTGCCTTGTCAGAAAGAGTTGCTGCATAAACTGCTTCAGCTGAAGAGGTCAGGTCACTGGTTAACCATAGAAGGAGGGCAAGTATGAACAACCACTAACACCTGGAAACAATAAAACATGCAAGCTATTCTAGAAATCCATTCAGTGGTGAGGTAAGAGTTCCCAGTCCCTAGGATATGACCACTGGGACATAGTCTTCTGACTTGCTAGAAGACCTCAGAGGATATTAGAGGACATAAATGCTGTACATATTTTGTTCCTAGAAGAGCTGAACAATGTGCTCAGTGGCACACGCAGAGCTGCAGAGCTGGTCACCAAAATACTGCAGAGAGCAAGAGGTGAGCTCAATGATGCCCACTGGGACTGGTGGGGTGGAAAGCAGGAAGACCAACAGTAGGTGGAGGCAGAACCAATGACAGGCAGTCAGCTTATTCGAGTTATGTCCCCATCCTTCTCCCTGCTGAGTTCTACAGAAGAAGAAGAAGAGTTTGGATTTGATATCCCGCTTTATCACTACCCTAAGGAGTCTCAAAGCGGCTAACATTCTCCTTTCCCTTCCTCCCCCACAACAAACTCTCCGTGAGGTGAGTGGGGCTGAGAGACTTCAGAGAAGCGTGACTAGCCCAAGGTCACCCAGCAGCTGCATGTGGAGGAGCGGAGACGCGAACCCGGTTCACCAGATTACGAGACTACTGCTCTTAACCACTACACCACACTGGCTCTCTGAGACACTGAGACTTGATGTCAGGAGCGAGCCAGCAGTAAATCACACCAAGCAAGTTGGAGTTAACTATTTCTTAGCAAAAAAATTAAAAAAAAAAACAATCAACACAGGAGTGTCAGGCCTAATGGGCACAGCAACCTCTTCTCTGATAGGTGTTGCCCCCATGAAGCAGTTGCTGAGACTGAAGGTCCTCACCTCCCCACTGCTCCCTAAATCCCCTCCTCTCCAGGGTTTTCCCCAAGCATTCAGAGACTGTGACCATGCATCGCCAACCTCTCCTCTGCCCTTTTTCTGCCTCTTCTGGCTCTGGGAGATCAGGGGGAGCTTATATCATCAGGAGGGGGAGTCACTCATGGCTCTTTACCAGCCTGACTCATCTCTACCTCTTGGGTTTCCACCCTCCACCCACCTGCTTCAGCCTCTGATTCTGGACTTCTCTCTGCCAGCTCACTAAGCCCTGTTATCTCTTGGCTTCTGACACCTCCTCTTCTTCCTCTGACTACTCATTGTTGTCCCACCACCATTCCCTGGGATCTGAGCCTTCTTCCCTATGTGGTTCCCCAGCTGGTTCCTCCCACCATTCTTCTGCATCCAACCAATCCATGACACTTGAGGGGGAGGAAACTGGCAGCCAGTGTCACCCACTGGACTGGGTGCAGGAAGGGCTGGGTGCAGGTGAGGGCAGACTGAAGATGCTGGGGCAGAGACTCATTCACACTAACCTTCACTGGGAGAGTGCTAGCAAAGAAGGGAGGTGAATGGATAGTCTCTCTCTCTCTCTCTCTCTCTCTCTCTCTCTCTCTCTCTCCGCCCTCCAGCTGCTTTTCTCTGCAACACAACACAGGAACGGGCTGTGGGAGGTGACAGAAGAAAAATGCCATCAGGAAAAGGGTCTTGCTTTCCCCCCACTACCACTTCCCCCCTGAAAGTTATGCTCTTCCCTCAAACACTTTGCAGCTGTTCAGTGGCAGCCAGCAATCCCCATTCAATGGCCCTGCCAAAGCTCTCAGGTTTCTGCCAATTTGTGCTTCTACAAAAATGCATCCTCCGTCAGTTTTTACCCAGTTCCCAGAATTGCTGTGTGCATTGTTGGAATGTGGGAAAGACATCAGCCATTAGAGATGATGCTCGAGGAATTCAACCTTTGGAAATCCCAGTATGAAGTGGCCTATCAGCTCCTCTCGAACAAATGTGCCGATCGAAGCTTACGAGACCTACCGGCTCTCTTGCTTCACACATCTGCCAATCCAATCGTCAACTCAGAAAAGTAAATCAATCAAAATACATCTACCAGTGCATACAGTGGTACCTCGCAAGACGAATGCCTCGCAAGACAAAAAACTCGCTAGACGAAAGGGTTTTTTGTTTTTTGAGCTGCTTCACAAGACGATTTTCCCTATGGGCTTGCTTCGCAAGACGGAAACGTCTTGCAAGTTTGTTTCCTTTTTCTTAACACCGTTAATACAGTTGCGACTTGACTTCGAGGAGCAACTCATAGAAGTGTGGTAGCCTTTTTTGAGGTTTTTAAAGACTTTGGTGATTTTTGAAGCTTTTCCAAAACTTTCCCGACACCGTGCTTCGCAAGACGAAAAAAATCGCAAGACGACAAAACTCGCGGAACGAATTAATTTCGTCTTGCGAGGCACCACTGTATTTGGATAGAAGATATACTTTGAAGCACATATTTACAATGTTTGTTTTTGCATGGGTGTTTAAGAAAGTTAAAGTTTACGAAAGGGACACGGGTGGCGCTGTGGTCAAAACCACAGAGCCTAGGGCCTGCCGATCGGAAAGTCGGCGGTTTGAATCCCCGTGATGGGGTGAGCTCCCGTTGTTCGGTCCCAGCTCCTGCCCACCTAGCACTTTGAAAGCACGTCAAAGTGCAGGTAGATAAATAGGTACCACTCCAGTGGGAAGGTAAACGGCTTTTCTGTGCACTGCTCTGGTTCTCCAGAAGCGGCTTAGTCATGCTGACCACATGACCCGGAAGCTGTCTGCAGACAAACACCGGCTCCCTCAACCTATAGAGCGAGATGAGCGCACAACACCAGAGTCGTCCGTGACTGGACCTAATGGTCAGGAGTACCTAGTGGTCAGGGTTCGTTTTCTTTTTTGGACGGTGGAGGGGGGGTGTGGTGTGTCCCATCTGTGTAGTTGTGATGGGAATGCTCTGCCAGGGTGGGATGGGGACAGAAAAATTGGAGTCACAGTATAGACACAGGCTTACTACTTCAGTCCAAACTACACATTATATTAGGAGAGCCAGGAGTCCAGATGTTTTCTCCCTCTGAGCAATTTGATTAGAAAAGCACTACAAGCAGGTATTTTACCCTTATCCTCTTCATTGTCTTAAAAAATCATCATAATCTATATATCCCTCTTCAAGCTAGTTGCATTAGAGAAGAAAACTGTACACAAACTATACAAGAGCTCCCATTGTAATCCCTAAGCAGCTAATAGGAGTGTGTGTGTGTGTGTGTGTGTGTGAAAGAAAGAAAAAGCTGATTTATTTTGGGACTGTGGCACAGGTGGGGGAAGCACCGACACCCGCAGCCACCAAGTCATTTCCCCTGATCAACTCCTTCCCACGACAGCATTTCATAAAACAAGAAAACAAAAGCCCACACTTGGAGATTTAATCAAATCTCCCAGTGTAGCATGTAGGTCGGCCATGAGAAGGAGGTCAAAGTGCACCAAGTGCATTAAGTTGCGCAAAGAAAAACACATTAAGCCATGCTACTTAGTCTTAATGTTTTCCCCTTCTCTTCCACCCTCCCCAAAAGCGATGGAAGCTTATTTGGAAATGAAGTGTAATTGTGTTCAGTTTTCACTGAACGGATTCCCTTCCAAATGTTGGCCATTTAAAGCTTTGAAACATGTGTCTCATCAGCCTGCGGCACATCTCGATGCCATAGATTCACTGATGGGCAATGGGGTGCAAGTATAAATTCAATCCCTGCAATCCAGGGTTCAGGGACCTGTGGTCCAATTCCCAACTCCCACCAGCCCCAGCCAGCATGCCTAAAGGTGATGGAAGTTGGAATCATCCAACAAGACCTGGAGGATCACAGATTTCCCACCTCTGCTATGAACCGTGGACCAGAGAAGCCCAGCTCAGAATGCTATGACTTGTCTTTGATGTGCCAAAGTCAGAGAAGCACCATTAAGGCTTCTTAAAAAGGGGGGGGGGGGGAGAGAGAATTGTGTCTGGACTCAAGAACCTGGTCAGCAGCCGCAGACATAAGAACATCTAACCGTAAATTATGGCCTCTGCTCTCAACATTATACTTGGTAGCATCCAAAGGACTTCACCATTTTCTTGATAGATGCACCATTTATTTAATTAACTGCTGCCTTTGACTGCGTAAACAGGAAGCTAAATAAAGAACCACACAAGTAGTTTTTCATTCAACAGCTCCCCATCAAATGCTTCACAGCAAGCCACACTTGAAAACGAGAGGAGTTCCAAAACCTGCATGTGATACAGTATTTTGACTGTTCTTTGAAGTGAAAAAAAAAAATCTTCCAGGACATGCACAAGCTATGGGCACAAGTGGCTCACAAAGACTTGCATTTATTAAAGTGAAAGCTTCTATGCTCCCTAACCAAGTGAAACCTCCCAGACATGGAAGATTAGGCATGGAAGAATATGAGATCTTTAAGGATTTCAAAGCATTTCTGAACACTCAACGGTTACAAGCCTGAACGTTATCTAGCTTATTATTTATCACTAATGTGACTGCTTGGCTACCTTGATTTCATAAAACAAGAGAATTATCTCTTTACATTCATGTCACAACATGCTGTGCCTGAAGCACATTCGATCATCCCTTGCGTTGTGGCCATGAAATAAACAGTGCTGAAGTGTGTCAAAGTGAAGTAGTTTGACTATTGGGTAGAAGGAGAATCTCTTCTGATGGCGCCCTGAGAAACCACCACAATTAAAAGAGAGTCGAGACCCACTCAAAGTTGTCTTTTCTGATTAAAATTGGACTTGCTCGATCCCATCAAATTGGCTTTCTTCATTTCATTATCTGTATAAAATCAGTAATCTGGTTTCTAATTAATGGATTGATAAATCGAACTGAAATAAGTTTGCTGAGTTCCAGAACTTCATGTACTCCAACTGTCTGCGTTGTTTGCTTGTTTCAACATCAGGAATAGACAGTATCTATTTTCTGGAATCTATGTCTGGTTGTCCCCATTTGGCCTTTTGGGGAGATATTGTGGAATGGTGTTTCAAAACATCCTTATAGTGTGCACGAAAGCACATGACATTCCCCCCCGGCCACCATGATTTTGGCCCTCTGTCTTAGAAATAATAATAATAATAATAATAATAATAATAATAATAATTTTCAAATATCTCCCAGGTGAGGATAGGAACAGATGGATCAGCCTGCTTCCAGTTCACATCAGTTTCACATGCGTTCATTCATAAACCTGTTCTAACCCATTCTGCATCAATCTGTGGATTTTAAAAGCCGCATGAAAATTTGTACCAAATTTTGGTGTACGTATCTCTGAAGGTATTTGCAGATGCACAGTGTTATGTTGTGGTTTTGTTTTTTCTAAGGAGATGGCTAATGCAAAATTCAGAGAAGTATGAAATCCGGAGGATCATTTCATTTTGACCTGCACATTATGACAACAGGTACAGATCTGGTCAGCTGGCATTAGAATTCACATACATTGATTTCCTCAGTTATCCCTAGGTGGAGTGTGGGAAAGTAGGGGTGATGCATATTTTTGACTAGTTCATGTGAAAGTAAATATGTGCACACAATGTCAACGCTAGGCTTCCTTTACATCATTCTACGCACACGCACACCTATGCGAGTAGTTGCTCCATGTTTTTCAACTGCAGCTAAGTGGAACATTTGGGGCCAGTTTACACACACATCCGATTTGAGAAGGCATGCTGTTGCAGAGTTCCTTAAAACAGTGGGAAGAGTCTCGCAGGAAAGCACCCATGGTGTGACATTACGGACCCCCTTGCACACAATTTTCATCTTTAAAGCGTTGGAGGTATGCAATATTTTAGGTGCTTTCCTTGAGATCGTGAAGCAACTGCAAGATCAGTTACTGTTCAGCAAACACAAGTCCCTCTTTAGCATTTTTGCTTCCCCAAATTTTGGCAATTTGCCCAAGCCAAAACAGCCTTCAGAAAATAAAAATTACACCTTTAACTTGTAGCACCCCGGATTTAAAAAATGCTCCTACAGGTTAAAAAAAAAGAACAAGAACAAGAAAAAAGGCAGCGGTCTCAACCTGTTAATCAATGAAAACATTGATATAGTTATTAATTAAAACAAATCTGCTTTGTTACCAAGAAGCTCAATTCAGCTGGAACTCTGCACATGCCCTGAGACTATGCATTTATTTTAGCTACCCTCTGATCAAAGAACATGGTGCTAGTGTAAATTGTCAGAAGATGTCCAAGCTAAGTATCACTTACCTAGAGGAAGCTCAAGTGAAGTATTCAGAGAAAGTTCTAGTGATTTGTGCCAAATAGCGGCTGCTGCTCAGGGGAATTTCCCCACCAGAACTGATGTGCATAATGGCACATGTAAGCGCCATCCTAATTAGCCCCTGGAAACTCTGTTGTATCCAGTGCAAGGAGACACCCTTATCCAGCATCAATTCATGCTTGGACAGCAGCAATGAGGCATCCTCCAGCATCTTCCACTAATCATTGGATCAAGTCTAAATTGGCATCTCCTGGGAAAGATCCCCACCTTTCCCTTCAAGGGACACCTCAGGCCAAAGACAGCTTGAGACTCCTCAGCCACTTTCCAACGAGAAAATCATATTGTGATGTTTAATGATAGCTCACTACCTGTTCTCTTTGTCGTGCTGCATATTCCTGGATTGGACTAGATCAGGCATGTCCAACTGGTCGATTGCGGGTCCTCCCTTGTGGATCCTGTGATCCAGATAGAAAAGGGGGAAGAAGAAGAAGAAGAAGAAGAAGAAGAAGAAGAAGAAGAAGAAGAAGAAGAAGAACAACAACAACAACAACAACAACAACAACAACAACTTTGGTCACAGTCTCTTGGGAGTTGGACATGCCTGGGCTACATGATCCTGTGGGTCCCTGCCAGCTCTTTATGAGTCTTTCTGTCCCCGCCCTGTCCTTTTTTGAGATTGTCCTTTTCTCTGAGATCTGACACCCACCCAGAAGCCTGTCCCTTTAATGATGGGCATCTCTCAGTCCCCACAATGGTCCCCAAGGGCTGTGCATGTTTGTGGTTTGTGTATGCTTTGGCCAGAGCCACTTTTGTCCTGATCTCTCTCCTGGCTGATATGCAGGCCCTGATCAAGAGAACACAGCACTCAGGCTTCAAAAAAACAAAACAAAAAAGCTCTTGCAAATATTCATACTAATATATAAAGGTAAAGGACCCCTGGATGGTTAAGTCCAGTCAAAGGTGACTATGGGGTTGCGGTGCTCATCTCGCTTTCAGGCCGAGGGAGACGGCGTTTTCCACAGACAACTTCTGAGTCATGTGGCCAGCATGACTAAACCGCTTCTGGCACAACGGGACACTGTGATGGAAACCAGAGCGTATGGAAATGCCATTTACCTTCCCGCTACAGCGTTATCTATTTATCTACTTGCACTGGTGTGCTTTCGAACTGCTAGGTAGGCAGGAGCTGGGACAGAGCAATGGGAGCTCACCCCGTTGCAGGGATTCGAACTGCCCATCTTCCGATCAGCAAGCCCAAGAGGCTCAGTGGTTTAGACCACAGTGCCACCCATATCCCGATGTACTAATACAGTGGTACCTCAGGTTAAGAACTTAATTTGTTCCGGAGGTGCATTCGTAACCTGAAACTATTCTTAACCTGAGGTACCACTTTAGCTAATGGGTCCTCCTGCTGCTGCCACACCGCCGCAATGCAATTTCTGTTCTCATCCTGAAGCAAAGTTCTTAACCCGAGGTACTATTTCTGGGTTAGCGGAGTCTGTAACCTGAAGTGTATGTAACCTGAAGTGTATGTAACCTGAGGTACCACTGTATATACCCATTAGCTTTCAGAACTGCAACCTGATTTTTGTCAGGAGCAGCTGGTACCCATTGAGGCAGATGGGTGGAGGGCAGGGCACAACGCAAGACACACATCTGCAACCCAGACACACACTCGATTCAGACATTCACAGTACTTCCCTTAACCACTTTAGATACGGACAACAAATCACATATGTCTGTTGGCACTGTCCATTTCCCCCCTTTGCCACCGTGTGCATTAAAAACACACATGGCACAATGGGCACCCTCAGAGTCGTTCCCGCACCCCTGAAAGCTGAAGTTCTTATTAGCCCTCGCTTTTCCTACATCTGTCATGCCCCCTCCCACTTTATCATGCTACACACAGCTGCTGAAGTGTGGAAAAGAAAGGGAGCCAGAGAGAACGTGCATGCGAGCGGGGAGGTGATTTGCTGCTGTTGCCTAGCCACGCTGCACCTAGGGACTGGCTGGCTTTGCCTCAGGCTCCCGTCAGATGGACACTTGCAGACAAGCAGGTAAGACTACTATGGAGGCAGAATGGTACAGGCAGGATAAATATCACTGCTAAATTCTACCAAGGGCAAACGGCTTTCAGTACCTATAGAAACTGCTACTTCCCTCTACCTTCCATCATCCATAGATAGACTGTGTCACAAACATAATGTGAAGTGATGAGCTAATGAATCTCTTATCATTTACCGTATTTTTTGCACCATAACACTCACTTTTTTCCTCCTAGAAAGTAAGGGGAAATGTCTGTGCGTGTTATGGAGCGAATGCCTGCGGGTGGTGGGGATCTGCTGCAGTCGTGAGCAGAGGATCCATGGTTCCCCTTCCTTCCCTCCTCCGTAGTTACAAAGCATGGATCCACATGGATCCTCAGGATTTTTGCATTGGGCTACTCCAAACTCACTGTCAGATCACATGTCTGTGGCCACAGCATGAACCACAAAAATCATATATCCCCTATTTCGTTTAGAATATTTTTTTTCTTGTTTTCCTCCTCTAAAAACTATGTGTGTGTTATGGTCTGGTGCGTGTTATAGAGCGAAAAATACGGTAAGTACTAAATTTGCAATTGTAGTCATCCACACTAACGTTCCGCTCTACCCTCCAATAATAAAAATGTAACTCTCATTTTGACAAAAATTAATTTAGAAGTTAGTTCACTTAGACAGACTACATTTGCCTTTTTTAAAAAAATGGTGTTTTTCAGGTTTCAGACATTTCTCTCCCTCTGTTCCAAAATGTTAAAAATTATATTTGCTTTTGTAGCTAGGCTTCTCTAAACACAAATTCAAGTAGTGCAATGAAAGTTGGTTTGAAACTCAAGTGCAACAAACCTCTTTCCTCCAAGATTTTATTTTATTTATTTATTTGCAATAAAGGAAGTATGGGATAATATTTGCTTGACACAAATCGTCTAACTTCCCAGCAAACAAATCATTGGATGAATAAATAGTTCATCTAGAAGTGGCAAAACAGTCAAACATTTGTGTAAAGAGATTTTGTTGTTGTTGCTATGAAAATTCAATATTATGTTATGTGACTGCAATCTAAAACAAAATATTCTAGTGTCGTGTATTTAAATACCTGAAATAAAAAATCTAAACTCCAAATTCAAGTATACTTTAGGATTGTGACTTGATCTTTCTTGGAATTTTGGTTTGTATGCAATTTCCCCAAATATATGCAGTTTTGCAAAGCGACATGCATTTTATGCATGTTAATATTTTATTTTCATTACCATGTGCACTTTTATGCACAGTTTACTACAGTATATGTAGTATTTTTGGACGTGCTGCTTGACTGGAGAACTGCACCACTAAATTTGGAGAAGTGCAAATTTTGAAGGATAGCTGTGTTTCAGTTCACATATTGTTTTGGAAAACCGTAATTAGGTAGGCTTGCCATTAAACGTGCAGTGGATTAAATTCCACCACCACCTACCCTTAATTGAGAGTCACATCTTCGGACGAAGGGTAGTGTACAAATCTAATAAATCATCATCATCTTGTAAGCCTCAGATATGAACAAGACCATGAGCTCTTTCTCCTGCTTGTAGACTGGTTTGGGTTGCACCACAGAATCTGTTAACATTCAATTATGGATTGTTGTTGCTTTTTTTTTTAGGGGGACGAGTAATTTTAAATCCTTCGTATCCACATTAGGAGGAAATGTACCTTGCAAGAAACAGTTGAAATGCAACAGGAATCGAGCTTCCTAATCACTCTGAAAGACAGCATGTGTGGCTTGTAACAGATGGAGCGTTTCTGGGGCGAGAACTCATTCTGCCCAGCGCAGGCCTTCACCCCAGAGATTGTTCAACCCTTGGTCTCTTTGTCCAAGCACAGGGAATGAAGCCACATCTGGCAGGTGTTGACTTTCACCTAGCATTGCTCAGTACGGCAGCAAATAACCTTCCAGGCAATGCCAAAATACAAATGCACACAGCTAAGGCTCCCAAGGAAGGCAAATGCTTCTCTGGCACGAGTTCAGTACTAAAGTGAGTTTGATGATTGCAAAAGCCCTGCTACACAAGAAAAGTGGCGGGATTTTAAAGGGGCGGTGCTCCAGAGTAATGCAAATTCAGTATAGTTCATTTACTTTATTCATTTATAAAAGTTACTAGACACCCAGTAGTTATCGCTGTGTCTGTGTGTACCGTATTTTTCGTCCTATAGGGCGCACCGGCCCATAGGACGCACCTCGTTTTTTGGAGGGGAAATGAATTTAAAAAATTTATTCCCCCCCCCCACCGCGGCTGCCGCCCTAAGCCTTGCGCACACCTGCCCGAAGCACGGGGCACCCTCCGGAGGGCTCCCCGTGCTTCGGGCGACAGGCTGCCGCCCCAAGCCTCGCGCGCGCTCGGCGGGACCTCCTGCCGGGCGCGCAAGGCTTGCGGACACTCGCCGGGGCTGCAGGCTGCTGCCCGCAAGCCTTGTGAGCCCGCGGGAACTCCCGCCGGGCTTGCAAGGCTTGCGGATAGCTTCCTGAAGCCTGGACAGCGAGAGGGGTCAGTGCGCACTGATGCCTCTCGCTCTCCAGGCTTCAGTGAAAGCCTGCATTCGCTCCATAGGACGCACACACATTTCCCCTTCATTTTTGGAGGGGGAAAAGTGCGTCCTATGGGGCGAAAAATACGGTATATTCGCGCAGGTACACACAGGTGTGTGCATAAGTAACAAAAACATGAATCCTAAAAAGAGCATTAAACAATTACAAAAAAGGGCCCAAGCCAGCAAAACCATTAAAATACAAGAACGTAAAATCACTTTTTTTTAAAGCAGTCAGAAGCAGAGAATTCAAAGGTAAGGTTTTGTTTTGTTTGGTAAACATGGTTAGGATTGCATTGTGGCTCTGCTACGCTTTTCCAATAAGAAAGAGCCAGCGTAAACCAATGTGGAATCTAGACATGTATAAAAAAACGCTGTGAAAATGCTTTAGAAATATATATTGAATTTGCCATAAGCTCACAATCGCCATCTGGTGTCACATTTGTATAATGCACTTAAAACACACTTAAAACGTTTTATTTGCAACTGTGTAGCTGAGTCCCTTGTGGCTTCTATCACCTGTTGCTGGCATGCAAGCCCTTCTATACAGCTGATGCAAATCCATATACTTCAGCTGTATTCAATAGGGCAGATCTTGGCAACTTTCAGAGCATGAAGTCTTCAAGGCTGACCTGTGTCTGACCTCTTTAAACGAGATGTATTTTCTCTACATGTGAACCCGGGCAACCAACTGAGATCCGTGTTTGAAATGGGACATTTTCCAAATCTATGAAACTTCTGTCTTTCCAACAGGGTAACAATATTATAATGCATTTTTGCTTACTTATGCTT